TGGTACAATCCTGAGAAGGCTGGTGTTGGCAATTTGTAACCTGGTTTCCGTAAAGTACATACCTCAAACTCTCTGCGGCAGATGAATAACATGGAGTGCTTCAGAGGCCCCCTGCCTCTGCACTTAGGGAAGAAGATACAGAAATGTCAGAGAGAGGCAGGAAAGAGAAAGGAGGTGGTTGGAGCGGACAAGGGCCAGGAGCGTGTCCCTTCACCGAGAGTGCCTTCGTTTCCCTGTTGGACCCATTAAACTAGGCAGTCGCCTTGACAGTGCTCTCTGGCAAAATAAGGCAGCAGAGAGCGTATCAGCCACACTCCATTGCCTCAGAGGAAAAAAGCAATCAAGAAATTAAGGGGGGGGAAATAAAGAGATTAACATTGCCCTCATTATTATTTAGGTGGCAACGAAGAACCTCTGGCTTTACTAGTAAACAAAAAAAGATGCTCCCCAAGATAGACGGACATAAAAGAATTTTGTGTAAGACATACGGAATAGGGCAGAAGGTTTGGAAAACAGCTTTTCTAGAGGCCCCGCTTTTATGATACAGAGTTTATATCTTGAGCCTATGACCACATACGAATATTCGACAAGTCATCACATACATATAAATTACACAACACACACTTATAGATGAACGAGTGTGTAGAGCGCTCTCACAGACAAGCAAGGGTGGTCATTCAACAGTCAGGAGTGGGCCTGTAGTTTTGGCACGGTTGAGGAAGCCAGCCACCCTTCACTTCACTTCATGTACCCCCTCTTGCCCACGTATAACCACAGCTTATACATGTGGATCGTTTTCATGTACTGGGGGTTATGGTGTGGATCCAACCAGCTTTTCCACTGATGAAAGAGGGAGGGTTCCCCTTCAGCCACCCAGAAAGGTTATGTTAGAGATCTTGGGATCTGCAGGCAGGACCCATTTGGGACAGGGACTAAAACAAGGAGGGGAATTGTGTGACACTGAGTGAAAAAGCAGGCTGGATCCAACCCCATGTGACTGAAAGCTCTCCAAAGCTAGAGTGGTGTAGCAGTTAAGCGTGGCGGACTCTAGTCTGGAGAGCCAGTTTTGATTCCCAACTCCTCCACAAGTAACCCACTGGGTGGCCTTGGACAGTCACGGTTCTCTCAGAATCCTCTCAGCCCCACCTACCTCACAAAGGTGCCTGTTGTGGGGAGAGGAACGGGAAACAATTGTAAGCTGCTTTGAGACTTCTTAAGGTAGAGAAAAGTAGGGTATAAAAACCAAACTTCTCCTTCAAGCCAAAGACTTCCTGCCTGTGGGAAACTTCACCTATGCATTTTCTGTATGCAGGGAAGTCACATGGGATGAGGGCTATGCTAAAATGGGGAATTGGGCAGGCCTGAGTAAAGAAGCCAACTTGGATCTACCCCGTGCCCTGGTTCTGTTGTTATAAGTTATATGGCTACTGAGGAATAGCCTATAGCAGCTTTCCATGCTCAAGCCCATGGATAACATGTATGCCCAGGGTGCGTGTGAACGAGCCAAGTCTTTTAGGAGCTACCTCCACAAAACTAGGCTCTCCCTCTGACATCATAAAGACAATTTATGCTGCAGCCTAAATTAAAATAATCCAGGGGCCCTTACAAGTTGTGGCACCTATTCGGCAGAGTGACTGCGTTCTTAGATAGGAAGCATCCTCTCCCTGCATAGTCCCGTATGGCGGATTTGTTCTTCCCAGCAAGGCTGACTGTTAGGATCCCCTGCCCTCGTCTAAGGCATGTTCAGCAACAGTGCAGGCTCCACCTTGTTTGCTGGTTGCTCCATGCCTCTGGAACAACATCCCGGAAGAGGTCAGGGGGAGGGCGTCCTACCTTCCCGGTGAATCCATAAGACAAAGTTATTCCAGCAAGCTTTAAGACCAGCCTAAAACTGGACAAAGGGGGAATATCCTGCCAGGGGGGACATAAGGGTATTTCACATTTTTAAATTTGTTTTAATGTTCTATCAAAAAGTTTTTATAGGATTGCTGCCTGCCTTGCCCCTGACCTGGATAGCCCAGGATAACCTGATTTCATGAGCTCTTAGAAGCTAAGAAAGGTTGGCCCTGGCTAGTATTTGGATAAGAGACCACTGCGGAATACCAGGGTCATAACACAAAGGCGGGCAATGGCAAACCATCTCTGAACATCTCTCGCCTTAAAAACCCTACAGGGTCACTGTTAATTGATGGCATCTTCCACCGTCACCTGCCTTGGGTCCAGAGATGCTCAAGAGAATATACAAATATTTTAAGTAAATATTTTTTAAAAAATGTACCCCCAAGCTGTGATGCTCCAGAACAGGGCCAATGAAATTGCTGGCAGTTTCCCCATGAATATTACCTGTACCTTCAGGTGTACAAAATAATGTGACATTGCAGCTTATGACCATTTGTGCAAAGCAGTTAAAAAAAAAATTACAGGGGTCGCCAATAATGGCAGGAAAGAAGAAAAGAGATTATACCCTGCCAGGCTTCAGAGAAATCAATAGGATTTGCAGCACGTAAGAATGGTGAGAATCGGGACCCATTTTTTTTCTAATTAACCAGCTCTGGTAAGATTAGATTAGATCTTAACCCCTTTGTTATTTAAAATACATATTCATAGCTCTATATTTTATAGATGCACTGGTGCTGGTTACAAAATAGGTCCTACTTTTCTAGGGCATAATTTCATTTTGTTTAGCCAAGAATTCATTAAAGAAGCTATAAATAACCTCCTTTAAATATTTAGCCGTGAATAGAGGGTGGACTGGCATTGATGGCTTATTTTAGTACTAACGCAATATGCTTTAGAGCCATAAAAATCTACATTTCAGCATGCATCAAACTAATGATTAACACCTTCAGTGAGGGTTTGTAAGCTCCAATTACAATGTACAGATTTGCAATCTTATCTCTGGATAACCAATGAAACCCTGATGAGGGTACCAGAACAGGATGGGGCACGACTACCTTTTTAAGGGGGGGGGGGTACAGCTATGCCCAGAACACTTGGTGCAAAGAAGCCTTCTTGTAGGTCCAGTCCCACACTTTGCATTGAATCCAGCCAGCTTTTCTACTAGGGTTGCTGGGTCCGCCCTGGCCACCGGCAGGGTAGGGGGGTAGGGTTGCCAGATCCAGGTTGGGAAGCTCCTGGAAATTTGGGGATGGAGCCTGGGGAGGACAGGGACCTCAGTGGAGGTACAATGCCGTAGAGTCCGCCCTCCAAAGGATCCATTTTTTCCCCTGGGGAACCCAACTTGGCTCTCTGGAGATGAGCTGTAATTCCAGGGGTTCCCCAGGTCCCACCTGGAGGCTTGCATCCCTATTTTCCATGGGTGAAAAAGTTGGAAGGGGTCTCCTTCAACCACCAAAAATACTATGCTGGGGATCACGAGACCTGCCTGGGCAAAAGTCATGTGGTACGAGGGCTGTAGTAAGGAGGAGGATTTGGTGAGACTGAGTAAAAAAAAACCTGGCCGGATCCGAACCCTTTTGTCCCACGTTGGCCAAATATCCACACACAAAACAGGCATCAGTGGGAAACTATTAGTTCAGAAGGAAAACCACATGCTAGTGCCGTTAAAGTCAGCCAGCAGTATTGGGATGGCCAGTGTTCCTTCTCCAAATTAAATCACGCGCTTGTTGCATTTGAATCCCACCTTTCGTCCAGGGAACTCAGAGTTCTATTATAGCCAGGCAATTATCCTTAGGAAGTCGGTTAAAGGTAAAGGTTCCCTTGCTCGAAAGCCAGTCGAATCCGACTCTAGGGTTGCGGTGCTCATCTCCGCTTCAAAGCTGAAGAGCCAGCGCTGTCGGAAGACGTTTCCGTGGTCATGTGGCCAGCATGACTAAACACCAAGGTGCACGGAACGCTGTTACCTTCCCACCGAAGTGGTCCCTATTTATCTACTTGCAATTTCTTGCTTTCGAACTGCTAGGTTGGCAGGAGCTGGAACTAGAGATGGGAGCTCACTCCGTCATGCGGCACACTCGGGTCTCGAACTGCTGAACTACTGACCTTCCACAGCCTGCAGTTCAGCGTCTTAACCACTTGAGCCGGTTAGGGTTAGGCAAAATATTGCCAGGGCCAGCTTCGGAGTTTCTTAAGATACTGGATCAAGAATTTCTCCCCCTTCCCCATGAAATCAGTACATGAGGTAAACCGGTCGTAGATTCAGGTCAAGAAGCACCACTGCATTAATTATTATGGAATGTGAAAAAAGCTTCGAAAATCTACAGGGGGGGGGCAGTAAACAAGAACACCTTTATTCATGCCCTTTGTGGACGTGATCTGGGGCATAAATCATCTCGAGACTATTCCTAGTAGCTCTCAGAGACTGTAGCAGTGTCTTGTTAAATATCTTGCAAATGCATAGCTCAAGGGAAAGTGTCTGCTGCCCTGCCCGTCATCTTGGGAACCCAAAGTCTGTAGTAAAACACAGGGGGTAGAAACATTACAGTAGGTCCAGGCAGTTAAATTAAACCTGAAGACAGCGGGGAGCTAAGGTAGTTTGTACATACTACAAAATGTTTAGGAGGAAATCCTGTTATCTGGCTTTGCACCCTTTGCCAAGTGGACGACGCTGCTGTCGTAACAACAGGGCAAACCATTCTTTGTGCAGATACTAGTGAAGCCATTGCTTAAAAGCCTGGACTGATGGAACACTTCCTTTTGGGCGCAATGACATGCTGCGCTTTGAACTCAAGTTGCAAGCTTGAGGCAGTTCTGTTGCCAAGCTGATCTCCTAAGAACAGTCCATCGCAGCCAAATTACATTGCTGAATACACAAAAGAATGGGAGGATCTATTTAAGCTCCTTTGGTTTAGGGTTGAGCTCTTCTGCTGACGAGCACATAATTTCCATTGACATTAATGGCTGCCCGATACACAAAAGACAGAAAAAGTGAACCAGCTGCTTCACGTTGGTAAGAACAGAGAAGATCGTTTGACAGACAAGGAACTTCGCTCTACCCCGTTCTCACCTTACCCAAACACTCTCGACATTTGGTGGTGGTGGTTGATTTTTTTTTTTTACTCGAAAAACTTTTAATCTTACAAAATACCATTTTCCATCAAAGAAACGTCCCTGCAAAGTACATGAACGCAGTGTTCTGTTTCGTAGATTCTATGCAAGTAAAGTTATCAGAGGTTTTATGCTAGTAGGAAAAAAAAACGATTTGTCAGCAGACACCTAAAAGCAAAACCCTACCAGAGAAACAAAAACAAAACCAAAAACAATGGAGGGAGGATGCAAAAGCGAGTCTTACGATGCTAAATGCAAGTCATGAAATATAATTGTTGGCTCTATTTGAAAAGTTGCAAAGTTTCTTTCAAACGACCCATATGGTACGTAGAAGATCACAGCTGGTACAAAACTGGCTGCGTTTAGGTTTAAACACACACACACACACGCTCACACACACAAAAAGCCTTATGAAGATTACTCTGTTTGAAAATTATTCCGAGTGCAGTTATCATAAGGCAAACATGTACAGAGGTGCAGACTGCGTACGAGGGTATTAAAAAAATAAGGTGAGTTTTGAAGTGTTTCTTCACAGATCTTTTTTTTATATAAAGGAAATACCATCAACAGAGGTCTCGGAGTGAACAAAACCAACCCAACGCAGTCTGCCTTTTAAAATTTAAACTAGCTAGATGTAAGCTGTCCCCTCTAAATGCAGCATTCTAGTCCAAACTTCGGCGGTCTAAACAGGACCTAGGTCTTCTGTTGCATTCTGGCAGCTTTGAACTTTGAAACTCTCTTCGTCGTTTCTTCCGATGCTTCAGAGAGACCCTCCTCAGCTCTTCGCTCTGGAATGGTAGGCAGGACGGGATGAGCGATTACCGGATGTGGCGTGGAAATGGGACACGAGGGATCCTTCTCCACAACAGTTCCTGAAAAAGCCTGCAAGGAAAAGAAAGCCTCAGACATGGGTTCCTAAGATGCCACTGATGAGTTTAGGCCTACCTATTATCTTATTCTCTGCCTCAGTATAATTTCTCAATATTCTCAAATCTGAATATCAGTATGATATAATAATAATCGGGTAATAATTGGGATTGCCGATATTTGGCTCCATTATACCCTGTGGGGACCGTCCCCGTAGGATATAATGGAGAAAGGGGTGGGTGGACCCATGCTGTTCCGAGTTGACTCACGCACTGCATGGCTTGTAAAAGCCATTTAGAGAGAAAGTTCCCTTTAAATGGCTTTTGCAAGCCAAGCCGCACATGAGTGAGCTTCAAGTGGGGTGAGTTCCCTGCAGAGTCAGCTGGGACTCTGCTGGTCTCTGGGAGCTGCCACCAGGAGCTGCCACCAGGGGGTCTCTGGGAGCTGCCACAAAGGAGGGAAGGATGATCTCAGATTCCCCCCCCCCTTCTGCTGGCCTTGGGGAAAGTTCTCCCTGCAGGTTCAGCTCCTTTGCAAGCTCTGTTCGGCAGTCCAATTTCAACCGGGCAGCCCAGCAGAGTCTGTGGGGACAGTTCTCCCTGCAGGATCTGCTCCTAGGGCTCTGTTGGGCAGTCTGGTTTCAACCGGGCAGCCCAGCAGAGCCACAGCAGAGCTGGTTTCCTTCCTGTCTCGCCCCGACGTAGCCACTGTGATCCATGCAACCTCCAGGTTAGACAGCTGTGATGTGCTCTATGCAGGACTATCCTTGAGACTGACCTGAAAACTACATCTGGTCCAAAACTGCACTGGCATGGGTTCTTACAGGACCTCCACTGACAGCCCATATACAACCTGTGCTTCGCCAGCTGCACTGGCTCCGGGTTGAATACTGGATCAGGTTCGAGGTTCTGGTATGAACCTTTAAGGCCCTAAACGGACTGGGGCCAATGTATCTATGGGACCACCTCTCCTGGTATATCCCCCAAAGAGCATTACTATCAGGGGAGAAGAACTTACTGGTGATCTCTGGCCTGAAAAGTATCCAGCTGTCCTCAACCAGAGCCAGGGCTTTTTCGGTCCTGGCACCAGCCAAGTGGAACTCTTTGCTGATTGACATCCGTGCCCTGCAGGAGCTAATGCAGTTCTGCCAGGCCTATGGTTTTCCATCTAGCCTGGAAATGTTCTTCCCCGCCCTGAGCCCTGTATACGGGGGAGGGTGGGCTATAAGTCAAATGAAATAAGTAAATAAAGGGCAAGCCAATTCTTTTAAAGTGAGGAAGAGTGCTGGAATACCCCGCCAATTCTCAATTCTGCCCCAAGCCTAAATTAAAACGTATACATGGTTACAACATACAAGCACAGGTTTCCTTTGGGCATCATCCGGATATAAAGAATACAAAGTAATTGAGGTGCATGGCCAGAGTGTTATTAATCATTACTTTTATTCACAGAGGGACTACCAGGTGTTCCCCTCTGCGCTTGGCCTTTTAAAAGGGGACCTGTGCGTTTTCGGCGCTGGAGAAACATTTGACTAATCACCGGCTTTCGTGTTCTCAAATGGGGATTGATATTTTCCTTTCTTTCTTTCCAGAATACTTAGGTATTATCTGAAACCACCTGCACCCACCATCATTTAATCTAATCTAACCTGCAACATTAGGCTTGCCAAGTCCCCCCGGGGGGTGGGGAAACCCCCGCCCCAGAGGCCCGTTCCCCGTCGCTGG